TATAGAGACAAACCAAGCTTTTTCTTTTCCCTGAAGGGCGACTCCTGATCTTCAACCCCAAATCCACTTTGCAGTGTGAAGAACTGGCACACAATCGATCAAAAAGTTTACAGTGTGATCCAAGGACAATGTTCCTGCCAACATGAGCAAATCAACCTAAATGCATCTCCTGAGATGGAGCTTGCGTAAATGCTTATGGTAATTACAGTTGGTGAAGAAGACTGCTTTAGGTGATGTGTTGAAGATGATACTACCACTGTAATCTGTTGTCATGGAACTTTGTCTTGCAATATAGGCTTCTAGACTCTCCAAACTTACATACAGCATCACAGAATACTGATATAAAATACAGCTGGTGAAATTTAAATGGCTGACTATCAATGATGATTTGTATGTATGCCTGTTAAAGTGTAACTTATGCCCATGCAGTGTTAACATACAGTATACATGGAAAGTTTTCAGAGCCTTTCAAGTTTTCCACATTTTGTTTCAAATTGATTGTCAGGGAGCGCTGGTGGTGTTTTCTTGGCTTCATGCTTCAGGCTGTTGTCTTGTTGAAGTGTAAACCTTTGCCCCAGCCTGAGATCCTGAGCACTCTGGAGAAGGTTTTCACTCAGAATTGCTCTATATTTTTCTGCGTCCTTCCCTCTATCCTGACTAGTCTCCTAGTTCCCTCTATCCTGACTAGTCTCCTAGTCCCAGATGCAAAAAGACATCCCCACAGCCTGATGCTGCTGCCACCGTGTTTGACTGTAGAGGTGGTTTTAATGAGGTGATGCTCGGTACCTGGTTTTCTCCACACACACTGTTGGGAGTTGTGGCCAAATTGTTCAGTCTTTGTTTCATTAGACCAGAGGATTTTGCTTCTCATAGTTTGAGAGTCCTTCAGGTGCCTTTTGGCAAACTCCCAGCATGCTGTCATGCGCCTTTGAGAGGAATGGCTTCCATCTGGCTACTCTACCATAAAGGCCTGGTTGGTGGAGTGCTGCACTGATGGCTGTCCTTCTGTAAGCTTCTCCCATGTCCATAAAGGATCTCTGGGTCTCATTCATAATGACCTTTGGGTTCTTGGTTACCTGTCTGACCAAGGCCCTTTGTCCCCAATCACTCAGTCTGGCTAGGTGACCAGATCAGTGAAGACTGGTGTCTGTCCCAAATTCATTTGAGAATGATGGAGGCTTCTGTGCTCTTGGGCACTTTCAATGGTGCAGAAATGTTCTTGTAATCCTAATTGTATACAGTGCATTAAATTAGGCACAGCTGGACTCTAATCAAGCTGTAGAAGCATCTCAACAACCAATGGCAGGATGAGAATGCATCAGAGCTCAATTGCAAATGTCATAACAAAGGGTCTGAATACTTGCAGTATATAAATGGAATATTTCAGTCTTTTATTTTTAATACATTTTCAAAACACTCGAGAAACCAGTTTTCACTTTATCATTCTGTGTAGATCAATGAGGAAAAATTGAATTGAATCCATTGTAAGATGTTTGAAACATTTTTTTGATTGATTTGATTTATTCTTTCAAGCATGTAAAGACAGTCGATATGTCAACACACATAATTTCACACATATCCAACAAATGCTAATCCAATATCAATTTGCTTATACCTAGTACATGCTTGAATGGAGTAGGAAGAAGTCAGACTTATCCAGTCCTACCCCATGACATCATCTTACCATCATTGGTTTGCAAGCAGTATCTCTACATAAATAATTCTCTTCTACACCACACAAGTAATATACTAAAAAAATATAACAGTGTTAACATTCTTACATAATTACAT